CTCAACTGAACTTTACCCTGGCTAGCAACTATTTTCATTTTGTTTCTCTCTCAAAAAGGATTTCACCCAGTCACCATTATTTCCAGGAGACATTTGTACCACAATAGAAATTTCTTTTATGCGGCCAATAGATAGCAGGGCTTGTTGAGCAGATTTTCTATTGAATTGTTCCTATGGATAAGAAGGCTGGGTGGTTTTATCATGACGTAGATGCTCCACAAGAAGTTCGGCTGTCTGAATTCTTACTGAGTGAGTTTCTTTCGTTCATATTCGATTTTAGAAAGCTCGACGACTACTTAAAATACAGTCCTTTTCGCTGCAGACGCTGGGGCGAACAGGGGGCTGGGATTGGCGCGGCGTCAGCCCGTTTTCCAACAGCTGCTGTCGCTTGCCCGCTCAACAGTTCAAGAACGGGCTGGCGCCGATCCAAACACTTATTAAGGATGAAGTGTTGCCCCGTTATCACGGCCGCCACCACGAAATATGCCCCCTTCCTTCTGATCATTGCATTTCACCGTTATTCCGTGTCTGTCCGCCGGTGGAACCCGTAGCCTATTTATGGTAATCGATTTAATCCCGGAAACCGATAATACTTGGTTAAATGGAGAGGAGCAGAAGTGAGCGGAACAGAAGCGGTATATTCCCTCAACCTTTGTCAGCAGCTATTCAAAAGAGGAAAAACCTACCGAAGAAATAGTCATGTGGCGAAAGCGTGGATAATATGTACATCATGGTGATTTTTATGAGATGCATCGTTGGACCTTTCACACTTCCAGAACTGAAATTCAAACATCATTCCATAAAGTTGCTGTTTTTGAAGTTACGCAGGGCTCAGTAACAATACGAGAAATAGAACTATGATCTGTTGCCCTTCAACCCCTTTGCGCTTGCGGCGACGGTGGTGGATTTCGCTTCAATTTCAGTACCGTTTACTCCCTTGAACCCTTTCACTTCTTTTTTCGGAGTTCGTAAAAGTACACCTTGTTCTCGGGAGCGTAGCAAGTCTCGCGATTAGGTCATCCAGCCACATTGGGTTTTCGCCACTTGTTGGAATCATGTTATTGCAAACCCTACTTTAAGGTATGCATGAGTGTTTTACCTGGGGTTTTTCAACTGTATGACTTTCTTCTTTAGGTTCTACTGCAGCGTGTGAAGTGGGTCCCTGGCATTCCTACTGAGGCCCAGTCGAGGATCGCTCGCCTTCGGCGGGCCATCTTCTTTTTCGCGTTGTGAAGTCTTGGGTATATGCCCAAGTTTTTCTAGTGTCCAGTTTTCGTCGAAAAATATTTTTCAAAAATTACCGAACTTTACCGTTTCAATCGTTGTATATACCCCTCATCCCCTAGAAGACGGCCGTCGAAAATTTTCTATAGGAAAACCCTGCTAGTTTGAGGACAGGGACACAGGCACTGGATGTGGGATTCCCCATGGGGGTGTATTGGCCGACAGGAGAGGGGGCGGTCGTAATGAGTGCGGTAGCCAGTAACGAGCAGCGCAAAGGTGTCAGTGTGCTGAGTCCTGTACAGCGAAGCTTGCTTTGTAGAGAACGAGGATATGTAAAAAAAAATAGTACAAAGCTTTCATTCATCAAACTAATCCGAAAATATCGTGGAACTATAATAAGTCGACATCATCCCGTAAGTGACTAAACTTCATACTCTGGTTCGCTGCGGATGATGGGGCGTGTCCGCGATCGCGCTTGGCGCTGAGCCAACCTGTTTTTTTTGACAAACGACTACCATATCGTTCGTATCAGACGTTTTCCAGCAGTTGGTCTCCCTCATCGGAATCAGCAATCGGCGGAACGGAATCTGGGCCGGGCGACTCGAAAGGGACACGCTCATATACGGCAACGAAAACAACTGTAAACATACCGTGCACATTAGGTTCGCCATGGACCTCCCTGAATCCTATCAGACACATTTGCTCGCGTGGACAGACATTACGCACAAGTTACACCATCCCATCACTTCTGCGCGGACCTCAGTGCGCGGCGCATTTTCATAAGTCAAAGTGATCGGAGCTAACGCAACCATATAATGTGCGTCTGCTCCATCACAGATAGTTTTTCATGGCGTTTCCTGGTTATTCGAACACGCTCACTTGAAACGGTACACAGGAAACGGGTTTTTCGCGCAGCTCGGAGTACTGCGCAAGAAATCCCCATCGCCAGATCTCATGAATCCCGAGGACTTCCGAAACAGTTCAATAGGTTTTTAGAAAGAGCAAGTCTTCATACACTCGAATCCGTTCTCAGATTTGTGAAATGTTGAGTTACAAAAAAATATATTGATTCAAACCTGTTCCTGAAAAAATCCCATCGATCCCAAGGCAATTTCTCTGTGATTTTTGCGACCTTCATGAACATTTTAGTACTTTTAGGAAGATCAAACCTTCCTCTACACGAATACGCTTTCCTCTTCCCCATAGGTCCGCTTTTGAGGAAGTTATGGTCCTTCAAAGACACCCTACTTGCTGAAAATTTGTTTCCCACGGCTGGTCCTGCCCAGAATTCCCTTCCCCGGCACCTCGGCGCCGATTCAAACGGGTGCGCGCGGGAAAAAGTTAAATTCAAAGATGTTACCCCAGCCGGCCTCGTTTTATTAAGCAGATGTTATTACATTTAAATGCACCATCACGCCGGGGCCAACAAATATACTCACTGACCGCTACCGAATTATCATCGTCTGTTCATTTCACGCTGATGTAACTTCGCTAAACTTGTAATGTAAGCAAAGGCAAAGAAAAATGGCTTAGTGATTGAATGCAGAGGCAGACAGTGAGATACAATTTATCGGCTTACATAAGTTTGTTATTATGATTCGGCTTAATCACTGGCGCATATTATACTCCAGGACCCTTTAGTAGTATGAGGATGCCACTCCTCAAGTCCAAACCAGAACTCCTGGTGTATATGACGATGCTAACTGGTGAGTTGTTTCCTGGGTCAAAATGTCTATCAAGTGCAAACGTGACTGAAGGGGAGGCAGGGGTGGGGAGTCAGGGTCAGTGCTCCGCGGAACGCGCGACGAAGGGGTCGTATGTTGCATGCAGGTAGTAGATGGGATGGGGTCGTAAGTGCAGGTGTCACTACTGCGAAAAGCTGTGGCAAATAAGTGAAGCACTGCCTCGTTCCCGTGTCTCGCCGTGGAGTGCCGTAACTCCGCCTCTCTGCAAATTCATGATAAATTGATGATATGTTAAAATGAAACTACCACACAGCCAGAGAAGTGACGAGTTAGTCTGAACAATGAGTAATGATAGCGGAACCATAAGTTTGCACGATAGGCGTTGTCGCTTCCTGAATTCTTGTCCACAGGTTAAATTTCTATTGTCTCTGCGTTTCTGAATTGAAGACGAATACAAGTCGCGCGTTACGTAGAACGGTTTGACAGCGCTATGTACGCCCGTACGATGTACGTCGCATGCCTTAGGCAGCCGATCATAGTTCGCGACAGCAGCGCGATCGCCCAGCGATCGCCGCGATCGCCGGCGATCGCGGCGATCGTCGGTGCATGGCAGCGCGCGCCCCAACGCTATTACTTGCGCTCCGAAGGCTTCTCGGGGTAAGCGGCTCAATTTTATAATTTTTTTCCTTTGGACTGTCTTCCTTTAGGTTACTGAAGCTTGGTTTGACACAAGGGAAGGCGAGCCCAGCTAATCGCTTTTGTTTTCTATTTTCTTTCTTATTTAGGATAGAAATGAGCAAAAAGCGCGAGAGCTTCACTTGAGACACGTTTTTATTGCTTCTTTTTTCATTCGTCGAGGTTGTACGTGAGGTTTATGAAGTTTTCACCTGTTGATGTCGCGTAAAATGATTAGTGCTTTGGTTCCTAGGAGAGTTTCTTTCCATTTCGTTTTTTTCTTCGTTGTTTGAACTCGAGTTGTAAACTATGAATGTTTTGGAAGTTGGAACAGCGAATTCCTGAGGCGCATGCATAAGTTGAAACAATAAAAACAAAAAAAGAAGCTCACCCAGGAAATGGAGTTGGTCTTACCCCGACCTAAAAGGAAGTGAAACCTTCTTACCTCATATTCCAGATCTGCTTATGTGTAGAAGGTCGTAGTTTGTCTGTTAGTAGCCCTTATTAAGAGTAAAGAATGTCTTACAAGTTGAATTCCCTTATTCATCAGGCGAGCATTCACAATAGCGTTGGGCGCGCGCTGCCATGCACCGACGATCGCCGGCGATCGCGGCGATCGCGGCGATCGCCGCTGCTGTCGCGAACTATGAACGACTGCCTTACATTACGCCCCCCCCGGCTTTGACAACTTTATTCGCCGAGTTGTAAACCACAACCACCAGTCCAGCCATGATCAGCACCATCGTACTGAGCATGGGGAGGGGGATCGCTACCACCGCCTAAAAAAAAGGACGCGGGGGGTCGCAAGGCAAGCTCGACCAAAATCCCCATCGAAATGCTGTGCCTGTTGAGGATTTGCCGATTAACTATAGCTGGGGGGCACGCTAACCGTTATGCTACACCAATACACTGACTTACCGGTATCTCCCTCTCAATTCATCAACCTACCCGCTGCTCAGTTTCACTCATATTCCCCGTTTCTCGGTCTGCTCCGTATGCGTTTTGAGGATTTTTATCCTCGGCTTTGTCCACTTTGGCGAAAGCCCCGCCCATTGTGGGCGGAGCTTAGGTGAGGTTGTGTGTGCTCTGCAAATGGCTAGAGCCCATACTGCGTTATCCTATGCACAAATCAGATTTGGACTATGTGAATTTCCACGAAACCAAATTCCAGGAGGTTAAGACCACAGAGAAACAAAACAACTTCTGGTTTATATATAGAGAGATTACTAGACATTGTTACCATGAACCTGCAAGCGCTATATCCTACGGTGGAGATGCACCGTGAGATATAGCGCTTGCAGGTTCATGGTGGCCTGACCTAGCGGGAGATTTGCACGGCTCCCCTTGCGCTAATCAGATGGGCGAAGTTGAGCCCGGTGACTTCTCCCTTCTCATTGGCTAGCCCTTCCTCTTTACGATCTCATTACTAGGGAGATGTGCATCGAAAAATTGAGCAGAGCGTTGCGTATAATATCCTGTCCTTGCAATCGGCGATAGACGCGCGCTCACAGGTGGCTGGCATACCTCACCACAAAAAGGTTGAAAGGTGAGAGATGGGTCACATTTCCCTCCTTTCCAAAAAGCTTGTCGTGTGAAGCAAAGTTCCCACCTACCGGCCACTTACAAGAAGCCTTAACGTGGCCGATTGCTGTCCTTTCAAGATGGAGAAACAGGTTAGACTCATGATGCAAACTATAGGGCGTGTGGCGAGGCGTGAATGCTGCCTAGGCGGCTTCTCCACCAATGCCACTCCAGGACCGCGACGGTCGACGGGCAAAGCTGTCCGTGGCCTAAGCTTCGAATCCATCTCTTAATGCACGTCATATCGGTAGCTGGGATCGATGACTACATGACTATCCACATCCCTATGACAACGGTGAGGCGTCAAGCATGCCGCCTTCACTTAAGATAGGACCATTGCCTCCTTGGTTGATGTCCCAGAACAAGCTATTTTACCATTCTGACAAGCGATCCACATGCTCGATTGACCGACTGAAACGGACTTGTACAAGTTTTGCGACTGCGCCATGAAGGTTGCGGCCAAACTACTGCCAACATCGGTAGCCGCCAGCATAACGATGTGAGGAGTAAATTGAATTTTTTTCAGGAATTATAAAGGAGAACAGCGTGAAAGCGATTTTTCGTCGTGTAGCGGCTTAAACTGGTCCC